AACTCTTACGCCACTCGAGAATGTCATTCGGGGAAGGACGAGCAACAACATGGGAGACTGGTTCCTAAAGGCCCAAAACAGAAACATATCATAAATACGTCTGAAGAAACCGCAGAAAATATGAAACTTACTCTAGACCATAAACCAAGAAAACATTCACATACAGGTACAGCAACATTTGAGTTATAAAATTAAGAAATCCTGATTCCGGCTGAAAATAGGTAGGAATGGCAGAGATTGTACCTTGCAAAGTGCTCTATATTCCTTTTGAAGACGTTTTATACAAGCCTTTTCTGCCATCTAAGTGCAATGGATTAAGTGAATAACTGCAGCTGCTGCTAAATCCATTTAACATAATCAACAAAACGAAATATATATTAGAGTGAAAGTCCACCTACTAATGAAATGAACAAAAGAAACATACTAATTCCTTGAAAAGAGTAATCTAAAACTACATATCAAGGTGTGTGAAATTGATAAAAAATGAATATCAGAGCAAATAACTGAACTTGTAAACAGATTACTAAGAATTTTTCTTCGGCTCAAGTTTGGAAATTTTATCATGTACAAGAAAAAGTAACAATCCCTAAACTAATATTCGTGCGATCGATATAAAACTGTACCTATTGTACTACCTCACAACACATAGAGAGAGAACAACAATACATCCAGATATTACGCAATACTCACATGAACCTTAATGAGAAGACAAGTAAGCCAATTTTGCACACAAGATCTGATGAAACTTGATTCAAAAAACACTTGGATCATAATTAACAAGAATCCCCAAAATCAATGAGCTTGGGCAAATACTTTCACCCAGATCACTGCAAAACCCAATTGAAAGAAACGGAAATTCGATCGAATTCCAACCAAGTGAAGACCCAAAAAAAAAAATTTATCTCGAAATCCCTAGAAAATATCTCAACCCAGAAAATCCGAGAAATTGCAATAACGATAAGCAAACGAAGTTGAATCAACTGCAATATGTTCGATCAATGCAAGGTAAGAAATTCAGAGTAGATAACACCAGATCCAAGTAAAAATTGGGAAAATATGAAAGAAATTCATCACCTGAATCGAATTTTGTCGAAGAGGATTTTCTCTCTTGGGGGTTTCTCGTTGATTACTTTCTCTTTCTCGTGTAAGGTAGAGAGAAAGAGAAAGAGAGTCGAATAGCCTAACTTGGGTTGGTTTAGCTAAACCGACATAAATTAATCAATTATCCACAAGTTTTGCCGGTATTATATAATAATTCCGGTTCGTTATTTGTAAGCCACACAACACAGATCACAAAATGAACCACTTTCTAATTGAGGATTCAAGAATTAAATGATTTCCTACTCCCTCCGTTTCAAAATAATTATCATTCTAGAAGTTTTCAAGAAAAATTAAGAATACATATTAAAAATCTATTTTATCCTTAATTAATATAATATTTTATTTGATATG